TACGAGTGAGGGGGTGGTGGGGACGTCGGCAGTCTGCGAGACTCTGGAGACGCCCGCCGCAGGCGCCAAAGTTTTACAAATTATGCAACTGGCCCGCCGCAGGCCCCGATTTTTCCGTCAAGCCAATGTGGGTAAGTCGCGGGTGGGTCGCAAATGGATCGCGGATGGGTCGCGGGGTGGGTCGCGGGTGGGTCGCTGTTGGGTCGCGGCTGGGTCGCGGGGTGGGTCGCGGGTGGGTCGCAAGTGGGTCGCGGGTGGGTCGCGGGTGCGTCGCGGATGGGTCGCGGGTGGGCCGCGGGGTGGGTCGCGGGGAGGGTCGCGGGGTGGGCCGCGGGAAGGTCGCGGGGTGGATCGCAGGGTGGGTCGCGGGGGGGACGACGACATCACACAACAGCAACAAGCAACAAGCAACAAGCAACAAGCAACAAGCAACAAACACCACCATCACCACCAACAACAACAACAGCAACACTAACAACATCAACAACAGCAACAACAACAACAACAACAGCAACAACAACAACAGCAACAGCAACAATCATATTATATACCCTCATGGGCGATTTTTCCACACGAAGCATGCGACCATCATGATAACCATCCACATCATGGGGGACTCTTGTTCTATAGCGGGGGCCGCTATTCCCATTCCCAGATCTCCCGCCCAATGAGGTCTTGCAAACACCTCCTCCGAATAATTTCAACATATCCCGCCTCGAAAACACATGCCCGCGCCTTGCTGCGCCGATGCGAGACCACCAGTGGAACCCCAGCGAAGGGTAAAGCACAAGGAAGTCTCGAACGACAGGATTGCCTTGGTGGGGATGGGGGCTGTCGGCGGTGAGGCAAGGACCTGGCCCTGAATAGAAAGGGAGGAAGTCTCGAGCAGGGCTGCTGTTGTTGCTGGGACCGGCGCCAATGCTGAAGAGAGAATAGGGCGCTAGTCCAGCGTAAAGCAAAACGAAGTCTCGAGCGGGAACGCTGGTTTGTTGGGACGGCGGCTTTCGGCGGCGAGGGGGAGCACCGCCTTGAGTATGAAAGGAAGCATCGAGCGGGAGCCGTGTTTTTGTCGGGACGGGGGCTGTCGGCGGCGAGGAACAACACCGTCCCGAGGAAAAAGTGAAGAAAACTCGAGCGGGAGCGTTGTTCTTGCTGGGACCGGCGCCAATTCAAAACAGAATTGGGCGCCAGCCCAGCGTGAAACGGAAGGAAGTCTCGGGCGGGAGCGCTGGTTTTGTCGGGGTGGCGGTTTTCGGCGGCAAGGAGGAACACCGCCTCGAGTAAGAAGAGGGGAAGCATCCAGCGGGAACCGTCCTTTTGTTGGGACGGGGGCTGTCGGCGGCGAGGAACAGCACCGTCTTCAGGGGGACGGCTCGAGCGGGAGCGATGTTCTTGCTGGAACCGGCGCCAATTCAGAAAAGAATTGGGCGCCAGTCCAGCGTAAAACGGAAGGAAGTCTCGGGTGGGAGCGCTGGTTTTGTCGGGACGGCGGTTTTCGGCGGCGAGGAGGAACACCGCCTTGAGTAAGAAAGGAGAGCCTCGAGCGGGGGCATTGTTTTTGCTGGGGGCGGCGCCGATGAGAGAAATAATAGCGCGCCAGTCTAAGGTAAAACAGAAGGAAGTCTCGACCGGGAGCGCTGGTTTTGTTATGACGGCGGTTTTCGGCGGCGAGCAAGAACACCAGCCCTGCGTAAAATAGGAAGAAGTCTCGAGCGGGAGCGTTGTTGTTGTTGGGGAGCCGGTTTTGACAGTCCCCCAAACCGCTCGAACGTGACCCTCATTTTCAATCAAAATATAGCCGGCGCCTCGGCGAGAGCGCCAGGGCACCTGTAAGGGGTCCAACAATAATGAATGTTTCGAAATTAGCATCTAACAGCAACAAACAACAAACAGCAGCAGCAGCAGCAGCAGCAGCAGCAGCAGCAGCAACAACAACAACAACAACAACAGTAACAGTAACAACAACAACAACAACAACAACAACAACAACAACAACAACCATTTTAAGGCTGTGCGCTTTTACTTGCCCGCGAGTCATTCAACACGTATACCCAACACCCTCGATACCCGCCCTCTTCGTCTTCGATCACACCCCTTTCGGGGGGATTATTTTCTTTGCTGGGGCCGGCGGGCTTAGACGTACGGGCAAACCGGAACGGGCGGACAATCCTTCGGGGGCGTACATCTCTCTGCCCGCCATTGGAATTGGCGCGGGCCCTGCAAGAGGAGGAGGAGAAGAACGAGGGAGAGTGGGAGGAAGGGGAGGGGGAAGGAAGAAGGAAGAGGAAAGATACCACGTTGTGAAGGCGTCCTTGGCGCGCGCGTGGTTCCTGAGCGCCGAAACGAATTCCATAATAATTTGTGAGGACGTCGCACGCGAGAGCGCAGTCCTGAGTACATTGATGAGGAAATCTCGGGCGGAAGCGGGGCCCTGACTAAGTTGCGAGGAAGTCTCAAGCGGGAGCGCCGTTCCTGAGCAAATTGCACGGAAGTCTCAGGCGGGAGCGGGGGTCCTCACTAAATTGCGAGGAAGTCTCAGGCGGGAGCGCCGTTCCTGAGTCAATTGCGCGGAAATGTCAAGCAGGAGCGGGGGTCCTGAGTAAAATTCGAAGAAGTCTCAGGCGGGAGCGCCGTTCCCACGTAAATTGCACGGAAGTCTCAGGCGGGAGCGGGGGTCTTGATTACATTGCGAGGAAGTCTCAGACGGGAGCGCCTTTCCTGAGTAAATTGCGCGGAAGTCTCAGGCGGGAGCGGGGGTCCTGAGTAAAAATCGAGGAAGTCTCAGGCGGGAGCCGTTGTTGTTGTAGCCCGGGGGGCAGGGGCACAGTTTGAGCATGAAGACTTTCCTTGAGAAAAAAACAAGGTGCGAGCCCCGGGGGTGGCACTTCAATCGAAAAAAATCAATGTGCACCGGTGGGGGGGGATCAACAATAATTATTCTTCAAGAATGAGAATTCAACAACAACAACAACAACAACAACAACAACAATCATTTTCGCCCTTACCTCTGCTCCAGTGTCCAATCACGCGTATTTCCCAAACCCTCGATACCCGCCGTCTTGGTCTTCAATCGAACCCCTTTTGGGGGGGATACCTTTCTTCTGTGCAGGCTGGGCCCCGGCAAGCGGCGGGGCAGCCGCGGACCGTCGGCCTGGCCAGCGGCAGCGCTGATCGGCGGGGCGGCCGCGGACCGTCGACCCGACCCCAAGAGGGACGGACAGGGGACCGACCACGACGACGACGATGACGTCGACGACGGCGACGACGGCGACGACGAGCGAAAGCGAGGGCGAGAGAGAACGACAGCAGGGCCACGAAGGACACGAAGTAGGCCACGAAGGGCGACAGCGGGGACACGAAGGGAATGCGTATGGGACCACGAGGAGAGCGAACGAGCGGGGGCCACGAAGGGCAGAGAATGCGAGGCCACAGAAGGCAACGATGGGGCCACTGAGGGTAGCAACTGGGCCGCGTAGGACAGTGAGGGGGCCACAAGCGGAGACAGCGGGACCACGAAGGGCATGCACATGGGTCCACAACGGGCGCGACTCCTGGGTGCCTGGGTGTCGGGGGCGCGGCGCTTGAGCAAATTGCAAGACATTCCAACGCAAGGGCGCTACTCTTCAGTAAATTGCAAGCAAGTCTCCAGCGAGAGCGCGACTCCAGAGCGCCGGGAGAGCGACCCCTGAACAAATTGTAAGGAAGTCCCAAGCGAGAGCGCGATTCCTGAATAAACTGCGAGGAACTCTCGGGCGGGAGCGGGGGTCCTGGCTAAATTGTGAAGAAATCTCAAGCGGGATCCTTGTTACTGTAACCCGGGGGCCAGGGGCGCAGTTTGAGCATCAAGACTTCCTCTGTCAAAAAACAGGGTGCGAGCGTCGAGGGGCACACTTTGATAAAGAAAAAACAGTATGCACCGGTGGGGGGATCAACAAAAATTATTTTTCAGAAATGAGAATTCAACGACAACAATAATAACAACAACAACAACAACAACTGTAACAACAACAACAACAACAACAACAAACCAAAAACAAAAACACAAGCAAAAACAACAACAACAACAACAACAACAACAACAACAACAACAACAACAACAACAACAACAATAACACCAACAACAACAACAACAACAACAACAACAACAACAAGAACAACAACAACAACAACAACAACAACAACAACAACAACAACAACAACGACAACAACAACAACAACAACGACGACGACGACGACAACAACAACGACGCAACAAGCATAATCCTCACCACGGATCTCCACACCAGCCACGCACCCAGGGACAAGGCATGGCCGTTCGGCCCCCCTCCACTCCGATCATGAGCAGAACCAGGCAGCTCTCCGAGAGAACACAGATCGAATGCGCCCTCGAGAACAGCAAAAGATCCGAACTCTTCGGGAGACGGGCGCCGAAGCTACAAAGTCCTCCTGCGGGGAGGAGGGGGCGGGGAAGCGGTGCCTGGCCGCCCCCGCGCGGGAGCCCCTCGGCCCGAGGGGAGCCCGCCCCTCTGCCCGAGGCCTACCTCTGGCGCCGCGTGCTCTTCACGGCGCAGAGGTCGAGGGGCCCAAGGGCACAGAAAGAAATACCCACAGAAATACCCACAGGCGGAGGAGGAGGAGGAGGAGGAGGAAGAGGAGGAGGAGGAGGAGGAGGAGGGCACAGAAAGAAATACCCACAGATCCCAGGATCCCCTTTGTACTTTCCCATTTGTTTTGGATTTTCGCATTCCCCGCCCACTTCCCACATTTTTTCCCACATCTTCCTGGGAGTCGACACTTCACTGTGTCTGCGTGTGCTTTCCCCTCCTGCAATGCCACCGGTGCCGCTGCTCCCCGGGCCTCTCCAGGGGTGCGCTCCGACCAGGACTTCGATGCGAATCCAGCGGTGGCGACGGGGGCCTCCCAGGAAGGCGAGGCGGGGGGGAGCGAGGCAAGGGGTGCCTTTCCCTCCTCCGAGGTCTGGGGAGGAGGGGAGGTGGCACCTCGTCGTCCCCGCGCGGAGTCCACAGCCCCAGCAGCCCGCCCCGCTGCGCGAGGCCCGCCATCGCGCAGGGCCCTCGGCCAGACCGCGCGCGCACGCAGGGGGGAGGCGGAGCTTTCGGGCTGCCTGGGGGGGCTCGGCGCGTGAGCGGCTGCGGGGAGGCCCATGCGCCCGGGGGCCCCGGGGAGAGGCTCTCTCGCTCCATCCGGCTGGGGTGGAGACCTCCTCGATGGGGCCGAGGTAGACGGGGTCGAGGGATCGCGCCACACCGACCGATGCATCGGCGACGGCGATGCATCCGGGATGCACCAGGGATGTATCGACGAACCGACGAGTCGGACCGACTGCGTCCGCGAGCACTTCTGTACCAGCCGAGAGGAGGCATGTGGCAGAGAGAAGAAGATAGGAGAGACAAATGGCACAGACATGAAACATGACAGTCCGTGCGGATGTCTTGGATCTGAAATCTGGCCCCCAGGAGAGGAGCAATCTATAAGACGAAACAAAGGCTTCGCTCGAGACATCCTCAACACATTCTGCAAAACAAGCGTTTCGCTCCAGACAACCGCGGCAAACGAAAATGTTCACTTTAGAATGTTGTCTACCGATCGGGATTTCAAAAACCGCTTGGGACATCCTCACATTTCAATCCCGCCGGTTACGAGACCTCGAATTCATCACAAAATAATCCCGAGGGCCCTACGCAAGTCCATGTTGATCCTCGAATTGCACCCCTGGCCCCAAACTTCCAACACCAACGGCTCCCGCCTGATACCTCCTCACATTGCATGTCGGCATCACCTCAGCAATTGCCCAGGAATCGCGCTCTCGCGTGGCGCTTGCTCAAAACATCTTGCGGATTCGTACCCCCAACGCTCGGGATTCACGCCCTCGCTCTGGATCTCCTGGCGACTTACTTGGGCATCGCGCTGCCGCTCGAAGCTCCCTTGCGAATGAGGCTGGATTGACGCTTTTTGGACGCCCGAAATGGGTACGGAAAGAATGGGTACAATGCCCAACAACAAATGCTGTCCCAAACCAACAGCGGCCGCTGTTGGGCAGGCGGCCTTCTGTCTCGAATGGACACAGGCCGCGGCGGCGTGGACAGCGCGTCCTGCTCAAAATGAACAGGAACTGCTGTTGGGCATTGCACCCATTCTTTCCGTACTCCAGATTCCGTAATAAAGGGAGGGGGGTCTCATTTCGGGGGGGGCCTCTTCCAGGCTGTCTGGGAGGGCCTGGAGGGAGGTCTGGGGACAAGGTTTTGGAGGGTTCTCCCACGAGGGGGGGTCTGAAAATGGCTTGTCTTTGGAGGGTCCGACCCCGCCTTTTATCACGAAATATCTGGAGTAACCGATCTGGGCCTCACTGCGAGGCATCCCGCTGGCGTGGCCCGCTCCTTCCCTCCCTCCCTCCCTCCCGCCCCTTATCACCGAAGTCTGGAGTACCCATTTCGTTCGTGCCGACGCTCGATACTCCCGCCCGCTCGACCTGGCCGCCGAGCCCGCCCTCCCGCCCGCCCGGCCGTTCCTGGCTCTGGGGGGGGGAGCCTGCGCCTTCTCACTCTGCCCCCCCCCGTCCGGCACGTCTCTCTCGCGCTCCTGGCCTCCTCCCTCCCTCCTCCTCCTGCCTCCTCCTCCTCCTCCTCCTCCTCCCCTCCCTCCTCCTCCTCCTCCTCCTCCTCCCTCCTCCCTCTCCTTCCTCTCTCCTCCTCCTCCTCCTCTCCTCCCTCCTCCTCCTCCTCCTCCTCCTCCTCTCCCTCACGCCTCTCCTCCTCCTCCTCTCCTCCTCCTCCTCCTCCTCCCTCTCCTCCTCCTCCTCCTCCTCCTCCTCCTCCTCCTCCTCCTCCTCCTCCTCCTCCTCCTCCTCCTCCTCCTCCTCCTCCTCCTCCATCCTCCTCCTCCTCCTCCTCCTCCTCCTCCTCCTCCTCCTCCTCCTCCTCCTCCTCCTCCTCCTCCCTCCTCCTCCTCCTCCTCCCCTCTCCTCCTCCTCCTCCTCCTTCCTCCTCCTCCGTCCTCCTCCCCCTCCCTCCTCCCTCCGCCACCTAACCTCTCCTCCCTCCTCCTCCTCCTCCTCCTCCCCTCCTCTCCTCCTCCTCTCCTCCTCCTTCCTCCTCCCCCTCCCCTCCTCCCATCCTCCACCTCCCCCTCCTCCTCCTCCTCCTCCTTTCCTCCTCTTCCTCCCCCATCCCCCCACCCCTGCCCTCCTCCCCTGTCCTCCTCCCTCCCTCTCTGGTCCTTCCCCTGCTTCAGAGGCTGCGGCAGCCACACCCTGCAGGCAAGGGAGACTTACCCCCGAAGGGGGGACGACCGAAGACGAAGAGGGCGGGCCTCGAGGGTTTGAGACATGCGCGATGAGTCGCGCGCGAGCGGATAAGAGCGAATAGTTTGAAACTTGTCGTCCTGGCGACCCCCCCGCGACCCCCCGCGAGCCCCCCGCGACCCACCCCGCGACCCACCCACGTCCCTTACGTGTCAGAACCCAAAGAACGAACACGCCTGCTTTCCTCGAATGGGAGCGCATTCTCATCATGGCCCCTTGCTCCTCTGAGGAGCGAGAGGCCGGAAGCGCTCGCGTCGGAGCCACGAGGCGCTCCCTGCAGCGCTCGCTGCCGGCAGCCTCGGGCCATGGGGCCGGAGGCACTCCCTTGGAGGAGGGGCCGGCCGAGACGCCAGCGGCATCTCCCCAACAAGCACCCCGCACCCTTCCCAGACCCCCGGCACTGCAACTTTTTGCACACCGTCGGCCCTCGGAGGTCTGGACCCCCTCCCCCGGGGCCGGCTTTCATGCCGAGTCGGTGCTCGATGGTCCCGAGGCCCCGACTGGCCTCCCGGAGGCCGAGAATTGCCGAAAACCCTTCCCACGTGATTTCTGTTTCACAACGCGAGGGGGTCTGGGTTAGAACCCCTGGCGAAGTGGAAAAATCACGGCGGGGGGTCTCTTGGTATTTTCGGCATCTGGCCTGGCGGCCCTCGCCGAGCCCGGAGCCCTTGCATCTGGGAGGTCGAATCCCTGCGAGGCCATTCCCCCTGATTGACCAAAAAAGGACCCCTAACCCTTTGGGAGGGGACCGACATTAGGAGAGCCAGAAACATTAGGGATAGAGGATCGGGTGCCTTCTCTGCAGGTGTATCGAACCAAACGCGCCCAGGAGTATTATCTCCAATGCGAAAACGAGGACCTCAGTGAGACTGCGCCTTCATCGTGTTATCAGGGTTACGGTTTTTAATCCTCGATGACCCCCCCTCTCTGAGGGGCAACGATAGGGGGGGACTGGCATAGGGGGGATGCATCGACCTGGAACCAGCGATGCATCGCCGATGGATCGGCGACGGGCCTCTGATATCGAATCCGCACCTTACTGGGCAGGTTGGGGCTACTGGGCCCCTGTCGGCGATCCCTGGGCGATTGGGAGTGGACGCATCCTCCCCTGTGCTTATCCCCCCCTATCGTTGCCCCACATGCGACGTCCTGATTTTTTCGGGACGGCGTCCCTGCAAACCCCGACCATTTCCCTGGGACCCGTTTCTCGTCCTGAGTCGTCTCTTACGGTCCCGAGGCCCAGCGAGGGCCCCCTGGGGCCGACAGAGTGGTCAAAAACGCCTCCCGCCGGGGCTTCTTTCCACGACGCGAGCCTGTCTAGGCCTGGGTTGTCCTCAACGACCGCCCCCTCTCCCATCGGGGATCTTCTGACCCGGGTCAATCCAGACCGGGGTCAGCAGGAAACCAAAAAACTGCAACGCAGGAACGAAAAAACTGCAACGCAGGTCTTCGCAGACCCGGGCCAGCCAACATGCGCGGCCGCCTCGCGGCCACGAGCGGCACGCAAACCCGGGTCAGCCAGAGTCGGCGTTGGACAAACCTCCCTTTAGTAAACCTCCCCTTAGTGAAAACGGCCAGGGACCGAAACCGACGGACCTGGACCCGCAAAAATGACGGCTGCGACGCCCTCTCGCGAACCGAAAGCGGCCAATCCCTCCATCGACGTGTCAGGGTAGGAGGCCTGTCCAACCCCGACAGAGGGGGTCTTCGCAGGATCCTGCAGGATCCGGTGCCCTGGCTGACCCCCGTTTGCGTTGACCCCCGTCTCGAGGCTCCCGATCCCACAGGGGCCCCCCAGACCCCCGACGTCATGATTTTTTCATTACGTCGACCCCTGGAGGTCTCGACCCATTCCCCGGGACCGGCTTTGCATCCCGAATCGTCTTTTGACGGCCCCGAGGGCCAGTAAGGGCCCCCAGGGACCCAAAATAACCAAAAACCTCCCGTCATGTTTTTTTCATTACCTGAGGGGGTCTGGGTCGGGCGCTCCATCTCCGCCGCCGAGGGGCTGGCGCGAGCCGCGGACGCCTCGGGGCCCCGACGCCCCGGCGCCCCGCGGGCAGAGCCGCGCCGGGGGTCCCCGACGCCCCGAGGCGGCGCGTCGGGCAGAGCCGGCGGTCGCTGCGGAGCCTGCGGTCCTCGGAGGGGCCTGTTCTCCACCAGAACCCCCTCATAAGGAGGAGGAGGGGGAGGAGGAGGAGGAGGAGGAGGAGGGGAGGAGGCTTAGGGGAGGAGTAAAAGAGGAGGAGGAGGGCGGAGGAGGGGGGAGGAGGCGGGGGCGGAGGCTGCGGGAGGAGGGATGATGATGCGGAGGTAGGAGTGCGGCGGTGAGTGGGTCAGGCAGGAGGATGAGGATGAGGATTATTTAGGAGTAAAAACTGGCGCTGGCTGATTAGGACTAGGAGTAGTAGTGGAGGAGGCGGAGGCGAGGCGGAGGCGAGGCGGAGGATCGTAGGCGCGTTCGGAGTAGTCGTAGAGGAGGTAGGTGCGGAGAGGGTGGGGGCGGGGGGAGGAGGAGGACCCCCTCCCCCTCCGACTTTGTGAGGTGCGGGCCCCCCATCAAACCCTTTGCCACTGGGGGGCATCCCAAGGGGAGAGGCCGAGGTGCAGTCGCGGCGAGAGCGTCCCAACACCGGCTCGCGTTCTGTTACAAAACACATCGGGCGGGAGGTTTTTGGGGCCATCGCTTTCTCGGCCTCGCAGGGGGTCCCTCGCTGGGGCCTCTCCCTATCTCTCGCCCGG